ATCAGCGAAATTAGAAAAATTGGAGCGAGATGGATCTGTTTATAAACGTGGAAGGGGAAGGGGGAGAGGTGTTTCAAGAGCAAGGCCTATTCATAAAGAGCCAGGTAAAATACAAGTAATAATTCATAATCTTGTTAAAAAATTTAATGTTATTTTGTATAAGTTTATGTGCTAGATATATAGGGTAGAACGTTTAAAACATTACACCTGAATATCTTCATTGCATTTAAATACAGCAGAAACTAAAACTAATGAAACAACTCGATTTCAAAACGGAAATATATATATGATAGTGGAAGGATTATTTTTCTTAAGGTCATCAGTCTTTTCTTAGAAGGAACCATATATTTTGTTTAATGCTTGAACTAAAGAGAAATTAAAGACAATATCAACGGTATGTATTAACACCCTATTCGCCAAAACACATTGCGAGATATTTGATGTAAAAGATATATAGAAAGAAATGTTTTAAAATGTAGCTTGCTTGAATGTAGATTCGAACTTTGCTTCTTTGTATATTTGATTCATTTTTCAATTATTCATTTAGTACAATGAAATTAGCACATAAAATTATATTGCATAGTTATAGAAAATTCATTGTACAAGATCAAAATTAACATCATTTAATTACTTTTGATTAGCTCATTAAACGATCGATGTATTCTTTGAATAACGTCAAGTTTAATATCGACATAATTTACAGTAGACGTATTTTTCTTTATACATGGTTTTTCACAGAAAATTTTCCAATAGTGTTAAAAATGATGACTTAAAAGTATTATATCCCAAAAATTAATATGTTTCCAAGTGTTTATCGTATTAAGCATTTCTTTTCAAAGTATTTTAAATTCCTCTTTGAATGTTTTTAAACTGGGGATTTGTTTTAGATCTTTTTTGTCTTATATTTCGTGATGTGTGTGAGTACATAAATCGTTGATTTTGTCCGTACTTTTCTTTAGATTAAGTGATCGAAATATAAACAAAGGCATTAAGAATTAAAAAAAAAAATATGGAAAGTATGACCTTGAGGAAAATAATGTTTTCACTATTCTAGTTTTTTTTTTTTCCAAAACTTACTGATTTTTGTTGCCATTGTTATCTTAAACATTCATGTACAACAAAGACTTTCATGTGAATTGCTTTAAATGTCTCATGTTATATACGGGCTCTTCAGACATGGTATTTCTTATTCAGAATGTTTGACAATATCTTCGGATGAAGAAGAGGAAGGCAAATCTAAAAAATCGGAGAACTTTAATAACAATACATTTTCAAATGACGCAAGTAATAATTTTAGTGAAGAAATGGAGACCATTCTTGAGAAGGAACCAGTAATCACGAACAATTCTATTTTTAGCACAAGTTCTGATTATTCCATGGAGAGTGAAGATATCATTAAAGGTACTTTTTAAAATATTTTGTACATTTTGCGTGCACGTACACACACAAAACTTCCTTAGGATATGTTATTCTGGTTTATTAAATTTTTAATATGACATAATACACAATGAATGTTATTTTATTTTACATAAGGTGAAAGAAAAATTAAAATATTTTGCAGATAATGTTGTTCATGCTCCACATACCTCTGTGTTATGTCGGACGGTAAGGATAGGTTCTTATAAATATATTCCTCGAGAGAGAGTAGTAATTTCACAAACTGGAGTAAGATTTGGTGTACCTTTATTGGAAGATGGTAATTTATTCTACTTATTATTTATTTATAATAATAGTAAACAGTGTATGTCAATATAATTATCTTAATGATTATTTATTATATATAAACATCTAAATATGTTACAGATAAAACCTTTGTAACATTAGAAGTTAAGATTCAAGACATAGTAAAAGTACTAATTCATTTTGGTAAAGCAATGCCAGTGCTTTTCTTTTATACATCTACCAATACTGGCGCTATGATTCGTGAATTATTAGGAATGCAAGATCCAAAAGGCACATAAACGAATAACTTTATTACCAGAAAAATTAACTGAAGAATCAAAAGTAGTGCTGAAAAGTTTGTTTTCGAGAAGACGGTTGTTTGAAGAATTAAGTTCGAAAGAAGCAAATGATATTCTTGTACGAGCATCACCGAAAGATGTACGTAATATATGGTGTTAATGAGTTTATAAAATGACAATTTAAAATATTTCAGTTATACTTAATTTTTTTACAGAGTTTACAAATTCAAAGTTTATCAAAGAAAGAAAACCAAACAGGAACATCGACTAACTCGAATGTTAATGGTGGAATACAAACGTAAGAAATAAATCTGCCTTTTCTTGTAAATTTATATCTTTTTTCCTCTTGGTATGATGTTAAAATTGTTATTTACAGAATAACTGTTTATCCTCCACCACCTGCGAAAGGTGGTATAGCTATTAATACAGAAGATTATTTATGCCTTGGAGAAGATCAGTTTTTGAACGATGTAATTATAGACTTCTATTTAAAATATTTAACATTAGAAGTTTTATCAGAAACTGATCAACACAGAATCCATGTATTTAGTTCATATTTTTATAAGCGATTGACAAGTCCACATACTCAAGCAGTTGAAGGTAATGTACCCCTTTCACCTGCTGCTAAGAGACATGCCAGAGTACAAAAGTGGACAAAGAATGTCAATATATTTGAAAAAGATTTCATTATAATTCCAATAAATGAACAGTAAGTACTTATTTGTTATCTATTTTGTTTTATTAAATTTTAAATGTTTTTAAATTGCATTTATTATATTATAAAAATGTAGTGCCCATTGGTTTTTGGCCATTATTTGTTTTCCTGGTTTGGTGGGTGAAGTATTTACACAAAGTAAAAGAACAGAAGAAAATGACGTTCGTAAGGCTGTACAGAAAAGTAAAAAAATAAAAGAAGTAAAATTGCAAGCAGTTACAATTGGAAGTACGACACTTACACCAATGACAACTACTATAACTATAGATCAAGCTGACGATGGTTCGGAAAGAGATGAAGCTGAAGGTGACGATGAAGAAATGGAAATGGATAGTGAGGATGACGTATGTTTTGCTACAAAATGATGTCAATGTTTTGTAATAATATAAATTATTGTAAATCATGAAAAGAATGTTACACTATTATCAAAAATTTGTTTGCAGGACGAATCGCAAAATACAGAAGACAAAAGTTTGCCGCCAAAAACAGATCAAAATGTGCCACAGGAAAAAGATACTGTAAAAGTGTAAGTGTAATAATTTGTATATACCTGTATATATTTCTGAAGGAATTATGTTACACATGTGATATTCAAATTCTTTATATTTTCATTTCATTTGTTATAGACCCTGCATACTAATATTTGATTCTCTTGCTGGGGCAAGTAGAGCACGTGTAGTAGCTACATTGAGAGATTACTTAAGTTGTGAGTATGTTGCAAGAATGGGAAGTGAAAAAGTATTTTCGAAAGATACTATTAAAGGAGCATCACTAAAAGTTCCTCAGCAATCAAATTTTACTGATTGCGGATTATACGTATTACAATATGTGGAAAGCTTCTTTAAATAAATAGTATGACAGAAGTAATTTTGCATTGATAAATTTTTATTTCAGAATCCTATTAAAGATTATACTTTGCCAATAAAGACATTGAAAAATTGGTTTGAAGAAATAATAGTAACAAGGAAAAGGGAAGAGCTCTCGAAATTATTAATTAAATTAATGAATGCAACCAAAGGAGACAGAAATATTGCTATACCTGTTGTAAACTTTCCTACACAAGATGGTAAACTAAAATCTAAGCCTGAAAACAATATTGATATAAAGTCCATGAAAACAGAAGTAGAAGATAAAAAAAAGCCTTTATTGGATGGAGAGAATCGTATTAGTAACAATATGCCAAATCAAACGGAAAGTACTGAACCAACTAATGAGGGAGTTGGTAGAACTACATACCAGATCATTCCTTACTCTCCATGTACAAGTTCTAGTTCGTCTGAAAGCAATTCAACAGAAGTGTTGACTGAATCTAAAACTCCTCTTCCGAGGTAAATTTAAGATACTTTAGAGTATAAAATATATTGTTTAACACATAGAAGTTCTGTTTTATACATGACTTTATTTTATTGTAATTAGTTTTTATTTTAGATCATCAAGCGAAATGATGTCCTATTTAAAATCGAAACGGATCCCCAGGTTAATGGTAAGAACAGACCTTCAAGTGGCCAAAAAACACAAAGGAGAGTCTTTTGATTCTTGTAAATAAATGTTACTTTCTTTTTTATAACGATAAAACTAGCCCACATTCATAAACCGACATAAAATCATTTACCTATGTAATAAATGTAGTTGATACTTCATAAAATGAATGAATAAAAACATCCAATCATAACTGTGTACGTTGGAATTTAAATTTATTTTACAAGTCTGCCTGTTATGGCGAATGAATAGAAAGCAACTGGTTAACTCATTCATTCCTATTGTTCTAATTGTGCAACTCATCTGTTCCTATCAATTTTTTACAAATATTTTTGAGTGAACACAAACAACATAGACCTTTAATGTAACTGATTGGTTGAACGTTTAACACGTGCTTCCTTTCTGGAATGATTCTCATCTTATTGTAATGCAAGTCAACTAACTTTGTCAAGGATGTAACTGAATAATACCATGGAGTTGAAGACAACAAACCTATTTATAATATGGATAATGTTATTATTCTTCAACGATTATAATTTTGTTAAAATACTCATTTTTGTAAATTTGTAATTAATTGAACAGTATAAACAAATAAACTGAATCATAAATATTTGTAATTAATTGTAAAGTATTAATGAAGTTATATTTCTGAAATGAAATCGATGTTCTTATTTATGAAAAACCAGAAGATATTGTATGCGTTTCAGATTTGTATTAAAAAATAGTTGATATCTAACGCAATACTGATGTCCAACTAGCTAATTTGGGAGACTAGCTATTTAAAGCCGGGCGACATATCCACACATATATATTCAATTACACACGCTAGTTTTAAATAACTGCTAAGTAAAATCTTGTGCGCGAAAGAAGGGAAAGGATCGAGAAATAGATTTAAAAGTACTGTGTCGATGTTTGTTTGGGAAGACATGACCAAAACAATTGAAATTCGATGATAGACACGTAAGTTTATGTTGCGTTCTACATCCTTGGAGAATCACCTAAAATCATAGTTTATTAGATAATTGGATGATACTGTTGCATAATATCCTGGTTTTAGCTTACCACTACCTGCCGCTTATATAGTGTATGCATTATGGCGGTAATACCCGAAGACCTACAAGTTTAGTGTTAGTTACATTTTGATGTACCATTGCTGTTTTGCCTTTAAACAAAACATTAGAATAGATCTATTTATTTTTATAGTACAGTGTAAGAAAAAAATACTTTAAATTAATCTTAACTTTCCTTTCTAGTGAAGAAAGTGCTATGAATAATTGTGTTACGATTTCTCGTCAGGCATGACATATATGTATTTATTCGTGGTTTTGTTATAATTTTAATTTCCACTTTGCAAATACAGTGGAACCTCGATAACTCGAACCTCAAAGGAAGGGAAAAAATCTTCGTGTTATAGAGGTTTCGACTTATCGAGTTTTCGAGTAAAAGAGGTCATTAGCAATATCCTTTTTCTTTCTTGATCCAATTTTTACTGTTTCAATTACGTTTATTTTATCAGCAGATGTTAATGTTTTCCGCCTGCGTTTAGAATTCATTTTGTTGCATATAATCCGGAAAAAAGAATGAGAAACGATAGAACTGTGTTCTTTAACTTAGTCCTTCAAACTTTCGCAGCAAACTGCTTTTGTGATCAAAACACATGCATTGTTTATCTCTATAGAGAAATAAACAATTGACTATCGTAAAACCGTTGATCCGTAGAAATTAACTTCGACATGTAGAGGTCGGAGCTCTTCTGAATTCGAGTTGTAGAGGTTCTTTCAGCGGAGCGAAATGGAATGAAGAAAATTTTCGTCTTGTAGAGGTTTTCGAGTTATCGAGGTCCCACTGTATTATTGAATCCACGTACGTTCAAGCAACACCATGGCTGCAACAATAATTGCCTTAGCAGTTTCTACACTGTACATTGTACTTACAAGTCTCATAGCATATTGGATGAGAAGATACACGAACTATTACATACGGGATCAATTTGTAAGGTCCTTGTTCTTAGAGGGCATTGCTACCGGTGAGCTGTGTGGAGCATGTTTCGAATTGATAATAAGTAAGTTCACTGAACGTGTTTACTCTTCAATTACCTACAATTTAATGTCAAATCGACCTTGAAAACTTTAATTACCTTTCCTTTGCTCAGCTCACCACTAAAACTAATTTATATACAATTTAAAATGAGATATATCAATGTAATAAAAATCTTGTTTTTAAAAATTTTGTTTTTATATGTACCTTTAATAATTAACGTCTTTCGATCAAGTCTAGTAATTCAGTTAATGACGTTATTCTATATTTTTCCATTAAAAATTATTTCACTCTCATATATTATAAATATAATAAATCGTAGTTGCGGAGAATTGGGGCGTCTCTATATACGGCGTATATTTATTCATATTGACGATTTGGTGGTCCATGAACTGGGGCGATGCCACTGCTTGCCCGTACACACACATCGAGGATGTTGTCGAGGGAACGAAATCGATCCGCGACGCTTTTCTTTTGATATGGGCCGAACTTGTCGGCGGTCTCGCCGTTTTTAGATACATTCAATTACTTTGGGCACTCGAAATCGTTTCAACGCACAAAAACAAAGCGTTCGAAGATTGCACTACTGATTTACAAGTACGATCGATGATAAACACTAAGTTCGTTATCCATTAATTTTGTTTCGAATAAGTTCGAGTTTTATGTTTAATAAAGGAACAAAAATTTTTCGTAGTAACGTTCAATTAAAATTACCACATTTCTCAGACTAAGGTAGTACAGTTATTAGTTCATTTTTTGTTTTGACATTTACCGATATTTATTGTCGAACTAAATCGGGCATTTAATTTTACCTCACTCTGTACTACGTTAGTTCATTAGTATTAGAAAAATTTGGTTTCTTTTCCTATTTTTATGGAGTTCTTTTCCTATTTTCAAGGTGCCTGTAATATTTGGAGCATTTATCGAATGCGTGGCGACTTGTATATATAGGGTAGTATCACGTGGTTTGAGTGAGATAAATTCCAATATTAGTGTCATTCTCGATTCCTTCATCGGAACAACTTTGGTTATTGCAGGTTTGAACAATTTTTAAATATTATCAATCGTCTGAAAGAAAATACACATATTTATTTATTTTTCATTTCGTAACTTCAGAATATCTAAAATATGTATGTAAACAACGTATATTTCTTGTAGAATTAATACCTATGACGTGCATATTTTCGCTAATAAATGCACATTTTACTTAGAATAACGAGTACAAATTTAATCAATGCAAATTCTCGAGGGTACAATCCTTTTGTTTTTGATTTCAGCTTTCGATTATTCTGGCGGCTACTTTAATCCGGCGCTTGCCACTGCCTTGAAATACGGATGTTTGGGAACTTCTTTTATGGAGCACGTGATAGTTTATTGGATCGGCGCATGCGCTGGATCCATAGCTTCTTTACGGGTTTATAGGTTACCGGTTGTTCAAAGCTACGTGCAACAGTATAAGGAGAAGACGCTTTGAGTCGTTGACGAAGAAACACTGGGTGGTCGTTACTCGAGTTTCATGATTTTATGTTCACTTTTCCGTTGTTTATTTAACTTGCTCCGTGCTTCCTGTCCAGGTTACAATCTATACAGTAGCGTGTGAGTTTATAGTAAGTTAATTTAGATGCGGCCTTCCAGATAATTATGTACAAAGAACATTTCCGCACAAATGAATCCTCACAAGTAATCACCCTTTACTCAGGTTTGCAGTGACATTTTCGGTGAAATATTATATATATATTACTACATTTATAGGTTAAAGTAATTGATAGTGAATGATGTGCCTAATGTATTATAATCGTACAAAGAAATAAATATTTTCTGGGTAATTTTACGAAATAATGTATTTAGAATGTTTCGAGATGAAGCTATTTGATACAAATTTTTCAAGAATTTATTCAAACATCCCATCACAAGAGTTTATAATAATAAGTCAAATTTATGTGTAATTACAATAAATATAGTATTTTAAATGTAAACGTTCGTGAAAATTATGGAAAAATAGTAAAGGAATTGAGAGTTCTTTCATTCAAAATTGTTAATTTCCAAGGAAATTAACATTAAATAACAATGTAAACTTCACACATACGTAGATTCATACAACATACAGGGTGTATCACTGAACTTGCGCATTTTAAATACAAAAAACTTATACACCATATGTTGTATAAAAAATTGTTATATACAAAAGTTGCATATACTTCTTTTATATGTGAAGAAGTTTCACAGATTTGGAAGTCAAATTTGTTTATTTGAATAGACTACGATATGTATTGTGCTAAAATTCGAAAAATTAAAATTGAGTAAAAATACATCGAATTCTATGTACAATTGGTTCTAAATATAATAGTTTACGAAATGTTTTGCTTCGTCCCTGAAAAATTTCTTTCGTATTTTCGATATAAATTTTTGAAAAATAAAATAAACCTCATTAACCTCTAAATTTAGAAGCAATGAAAGTTAATGCATTTCTATTCAAAATTTAACATCCTTTCGAATTTTAGTAGAAAAAATACCATACTCCATTAAAAAAAAAAAGAAAGTCGACATTGTGCAACTTTGTGCATATAAACTTTTCATACAATACATAATGTAAAAGTTATTAAAGGTATGCAAGTTAGATGAGACACCCTATATATATACAATTTTCAAACTAGCAAGTATTTAATTCTTCAGTGTTATAAATAATTATTATACGAATTATATTAGATATGTATAAAAGTTATAAGAAATGGTATATCAAATAACAAAAGCAATCGATCTATATTGAAAATACGGTATAAAACAGAAATGTAAGAGATGGTTTTTTAAATTAGTGCAAATTTCCACGTAAAAACTGTTCTTCACAATTTACACGAAGAATTCTGCTTTAGACGACAGATCCCAATGAATTGCTTCGTTCTTGTACATTTCAATAGTCTGTAACGGAAATGTATTCTTTATTAATAAATTAAACAGTTGTTAAATTTGATCAGATATTGAGATATTCAGATGTTCCTGTTAATTTAATAATATAAAAATTAATATTATCAACGTATTATCTTGTAGCTAAGATGTATATGAGAAATGTATTTCTCAGCAATTATTCTTCTCGTACGTGTAAAAACTAAAGAAGTAGCGATGTTTTTAAGTAAAATTATAAAAATTTACCGCAGTAATCTCGCCGTCTAATTCTGCTACTTGTTTCTCGTGACTTTTTTGTAACTTTTCTTTCTCGCGTCCTTGCTTGATCTGAACGGTTTTCCTTTCTTGCATGAACTTCTTCGTATTTTGCTCTTTTTTCTCACGCAGTCTACGATCTTTATCTCCCTTTGTCTTCAATGCTTTATCGTTCATTACTTCTTTAGCTGTTTCCACGGATATTTTCGCTTGATTCGAATTCATGTCCTTCATATCTCTGTAACATCAGATATAGAAAACAAAGTTATTGCATAAATTAACAAACATTTCAATAAAATATTTCAAAGTCCTAATATAAAAAAAATCATTAACTATTTACTTTTTGCAGTTAATTTTATTCGAATTAGCCATTAATATGAAATACTGAAATATGAAACAGATTATTTAGTAAATTCCAGTTAAATTTTTTAACTTTGCAGTACTCTAAAAATATGTTTTGAAATTTTCAAAAACCCAACAAAAACTCCGATGAAATACAAATTTTCGTATTTTTATGAAAACTTAAACAAAATCGAATCGAAGGTTAGACACAGAATCTAACATACTTGTCATGTTTCGCTTGCAATTGTTTAACCTGCGAGGCCTGTACAACTTCGATTAATTTTTTAAATTCCTCTCGAGCAGTTTCTGTCTGAGTTCTCAACAATTCCCATTCTTCTTTCCGTTGCCGTTCCACCATGGCCGACCATTGCGTGGTTTGCTCGCTTATCACTTTTTTCACATTGGCGTCCTGGATCAGCGCACTTTTGCTACAAACGTAAAATTTATCATTGTCAACTTGGATTAAGCGTAACAACGGCGTTGATCGTAATAATCTAATAATTTCTAATTGGCAGAAATTCTCGCCACGCTACTTACTCCTTTCCCTTCATCAATTTATCAATGGCGCTGCAATGATTTTTCTGCATCGTCTGACGCTCTTTCAAATGCTTTTTCCTCATTGTATCCACTTCTTTCAGGTGTTTCTTTCCCATTTTGAAGGATTTCTCTTTTCTTAGCAAGTCTATCGTAATTGGTTCTGGTTTGTACTCCTCTGAAATTTGTAATACCGAGTGAGAAGAACTTACGCGCTAATAAATGTACAGAGTGTGAAAAAATGTTTCCGCACAATTGACCTTGAGCATGAAATTCAAGGTCAAATTTTTTTTTATCCGCATCGCATTCTACTCGTAAAGGAGATCGAAAGTTTTAGGGAGACCACATATCCCAGAGCAACCGTTTTGTCAGAAATTGACGATGAAGTTTTATTGCTAATTAGGTGAATTTTCTTCGTAATAACTTTTATGTTTCGAACTTAAATTCTGTGTAATTTCTAACAAATTGTTTGAAACTATTCAATTGTTAGTTAAACGTGACAAAATGTAAATACTGTGAAAAATAATGTTGCTACTGATAATATATTGAAATGAAGCGGAAACGAACATACGTGGAAAATAATTATAAGCGATAAATAAGTGAATAATTAAGTGAAATAATTAAGTAAATGTTAGGATAACGACTATTGAAAGTAATATAAATTTGTAAGATAAAAACCATTTACTTTACACAAAAGACATTAAAAACAAGTCTTTTAAAAGAGATTAAAGAAGTTGAATGACTTATTTGTAATGACTGTGCATTTGTTTATGCTGTTCTGTCTGAAAAGGTGAATATAATATTTCATTATGCAAAAAGTAAACAAAGAAATATATTCTTTACACTCTAAAACTTGTTCCAACAATCGCCAAAAGATTAAATAACGTATTCAATCATGAACTGTGTTAAGAAATGAGAAAATAATTTAACCCTTTGCAATTGAGTGGCGACTGAGAGAGGCGACATTAAATAATGGTCGTTTGGTAAATAATTAATCAAGTCAGAGATCAGATCTATGGGATCTCTATAAATTTGGTTGCCATAGTGAAATAGAGAATACGTTGAATATTGAAATAAAATAGTATAGTTTATTTCTAATTTTAGAAAATTTCAAAGATCCGATTTGCAAACTTTCCTATAGAAAAATGATCCCTGAGTGCAAAGGGTTAAAATTCATTTCAATTAAATTGAGTTCAACCTTTCGAATACTTATCTGCTTTTTTTACGGTAGACTTGGTTAAAAGAATCTTTTCTGCAGAATTGTGATTAAAAGAAACTTTTCAATTTGTCTTTCTAAACCGATTGAAACTCCAGGAAATCCAAGATTTCGCATAAACAATATATGTAAGTCGAGGGTCGATTAAAAAAGTTTTAAATAACGTCTTGTAAAGCAACTGTTTTCTTTTTTTACTTTAATATTTGTGAATGAAATTTATTTAAAGAAAGACGTATACCCTTTTTGGCTTTCTCCTCTTCCTTCTTCTTCGCCTCAGCCTTCGCATCGGTCTGCTCGATTCCAAGTCCTTTCATAGTCTCAGCTTGTTTTTCCGCTCCTTTGCTGAATGCACCGGGATCAGATAAGGCAGCCATGAAGTCTGCAAGCCGGGAAAGTGGGCTCGAATCACAGTCATCATGATACACTTCTATTTTTGCACGTCGTACTTGCTCAAGATATTACCTTCGAATCCATCGGGTACGTAAATCTTCAGTTCAATGTTACAGAACAACATAGGCAACGCCATAGGAAAATTCGCCTCAGTTTTCAGTGAAATATGTCTATATCCAGCTTGAAGACCGTCCAGCGGCAAAATACGTTGACCTAACAATTTTCCACTCTCTTCGTATACGCCTATGGAAATAATTAGTTACAATTTGTGGCGTTATTTAAATTGAAAAATGAGCAAAGTTTGGAAATTTTTTTATAGGCAACTACTAAATGAAAAATTTCAATTTTTTTGGAGGATATAAATGTGACTTTCAGCTTCTTTCTCTGATTTTTAAAAAATTGTGGTGATTATAGAAACGGTGGTAATATAATTATATTTATATACACCACTCTGAAGCGTCTAGAAATAGGCAAAGTTTGGGAATTTTTTTATAGGCAACTACTAAATGAAAATTTTCAATTTTTTTGGAGGATATAAATGTGACTTTCAGCTTCTTTCTCTGATTTAAAAAAAATTGTAGTTATTACAGAAATAGTGGCAATGTAATTATAATTATGTTTATATACACCACCCTGAAGCATCTAGAAATAGGCAAAGTTTGGGAATTTTTTTATAGGCAACTACTAAATGAAAAATTTCAATTTTTTTGGAGGATATAAATGTGACTTTCAGCTTCTTTCTCTGATTTAAAAAAAATTGTAGTTATTACAGAAATAGTGGCAATGTAATTATAATTATGTTTATATACACCACCCTGAAGCGTCTAGAAATAGGCAAAGTTTGGAAATTTTTTTATAGGCAACTACTAAATGAAAATTTTCAATTTTTTTGGAGGATATAAATGTGACTTTCAGCTTTTAGTTGTAATTTTTCGAAAATGGTAATTATTAAAGAAAAGGTGGCAATAAAATTAGAAATGTACATATAGTATGCAATTATAAATATTTAAATTACCAAATCTAAGCACAGCCAAGTCTGGAAGCACAACTTTTCGGAATAGGAACGGCTCTTCATTGTAAACTGGATTCAAACCGTTTCCGGGAACCATTCGTGTCCTAAATTCTTTCTTGATTGTGTCTGCTGGCAAACCGTACATATCCACTTCGACGTAGGTGCCGACTTTTTTGTCAGATAAGAATTGTCCTGCTATCACCTGATCAGTAGAACACGTTAGCAATTAAATTACAATTATTTTTACCTTCAGCTTGTTATTTCGACCAAAAACTATTCACATTTTTCATATCTTTCCTTACTAAAATATCATTTATATTAAACACTCTAAAGAATGACAAATTGAAAATTTTAATTAATAAAATCAAAATAATGTTCAAATAAAAATAGACGAAATGTAGGTGATAAGGTGTTGAAAAAGATGTGCAGATTCATAGAAATAGTAACAAGATAAGCGTTCTTAAGCTTACGAAATGAAACTTCACTTAAATTATAAAATTTATTTTATTGGATTGAAACTAATTATTTCAACTAACATATTTCCAATAACAAGTAACTTTTATATAATACAGCAAAAAGTGTCAATTTAACCAGCTCCAAAAGCCACTACCACGAAGTACAAATGATACAAAAAATAATTAAAAAATAATTTTTCATTAAAATATTCACAATAATTAAAAAATAATATTCGTTAAAATATTTAGGTACATATCGATTGTTGGTTGAATTTAAAATACCGCACTACACGCATAACGAAAATAAATTATCAGACAATCCGACACTATTTTAACAAAATCTCGCCCAATAACTACTATTTCGATAAAATTCATTATCTCCCAAAAAAAAAAAACGATTTGCATAAATCCAGCTTACTTGTACTGAACATTGGGCAGTAATAACACCGTCTACGTCCTCAGAGAACGGATCGAAGATCTTATCTGGTCTTCTCATGAAATCAGGTTTCAATAAATATCCAGTTGTTGCATTGTACTCGAACTTTCCCTGATTTAGTTGCATAGGCAAGTCAGGTGTTTGAAAGTTCAACGCCACCATCTGACAGCCTGCGTTCCAGAAGACCTAGGTCAAATGTAAACATTCGTGTAGCGTAAATTATGAATTTTATATTATTCCCGATAATTACAATTGAACAACTCACCTGTGGCATGTAATTCGACGAATCGGCCCTTGTACCTTTCGGATAAATTCGACTCATTTGACGCTTGTTGTAGTTCACGAATTCCACGGCGTTCGTTTTCAGATAATTGAGCGCCGCAGTCTCCGAAAACGAGGACATATTGTGATGTATATTCTTTTCTGCAATAATAACGACACTTCTATTTTTCTTTCGCAAATGACCAAGTGTTATTTTAATCGTTACGTTGCGTACGAAATGTAAAATTGATTTTAAATAAAATTTCAAAAATTTCTAACACACATGTGTTTCCTTTTTAAATAACACTTCGACGTTTCAGTCTTTGCTATCAAGACTAGACTCTGCAAATCTATTGTTGAACAATTTAGCGTTGAAAAAAAAAAAAGTGACAATTTTTCAAATTTTTGTTTCACAGAGTGAAACGTAATTGAATAAATTTAGCAATTAAAGGAAAGAAAATGATAAAGTAACATTTATCTTACAGAAATACTGACAGAGAACACAACGATGGGGCATTTAACGATTTTCGTGATTTATCAATAAAAAATAAAAATACACCTGATGCTCGTGTATATTGGTATGAAGAAAGTAAGGAACACTGTATACGTACTTTCTGCAGTTTCAAAGCTTTGAAATTTTATTGGCTGTGCATAATTAATCATCGAGGAAAGCCAAGGATGGCAGGCCATTGTACTGCCGGTGTATTGAATTGGAGGTGCTTCTCCTTCAGCACCTGGTTCACCTGGTGCAGCGCCTTCGGGTGGTGCTTCCGGAGGTGCCTCTTCCTGAAATATCGTAGAAATTCTTCCTGTGGAAAAAATTCTATGGAACATAATTCTACAGAATACTAAAAATTTTCAAATTACTTCTTCAAGATTTTTCAAAGATTATTTTATAAATTTGTAAAAAACAACAAATGCACTTTTAGGAATACTATTAAATTTCTACCGTCGTTGGTGGATCGCGATGAGTAATAATTTTGATATAATTTTTTTTATAGAAAATTCTACGCTCTTTTAAATTTTCATACAAAAAGATAGGCATTTAAAAAATTCCAGATCACAGTGGTATCTTGTGAATAAATAGGTTATTTAAAGAAAAGCTGTTTCTGCATCGTATGTGAATATGAACAGTTCTTTTTTTTTTTTTTGTGAAACACACAACTTACTGTGAACACTATTCTTCATCGTACCTTGTCGGTTAGTTCAAAGGAACTTTAAAACAGCCCACAAGATTTATAGCGGGCGATAAAACAACTGTGTGATCTATAATCTACATTTTATTTCTTCCTAAAAGTCGCAGTCTATTAGTACTTTGCTAACGCACGTCAGTTTGTCTCTAGTTTTGCTGTTAATATTCAGAAAATTGAAAAATTTTCTTGGAATATACCAAAAAGAGAAAAACTTAATTAAGTGACCATCAGTGCAAGATAAATATTTTCTTTAAAGCATCTAATTTCATTTAGTTTCATTTTTTTTTTTTAAAGCATTTCATTTCACTTCATTTTTTTTTTTAAAGCATTTCATTTCTTTTTTAAAG